TTTAATCCTTTGCAAATCAAGCTATAATGATAAAACTTAAGTATCACTATTTTCAATAAGTATATTACAATATTTCTGTATGAATGTATATCCTTCTATAAGAATACATGTATATAGTTGCAAAATCAATAGCAATTGTTTACAACATTCATTTATAAAGGCAATTAAGTGAAAATAATATATTGTCCGGTATATGCCATAAATTAAAGAAAACAGTAGGTATATGACAGTTTTTACCGGTAAAAACTGTCATATACCTACTGTCATATACCACTGTCATGTCAAAAACCAGTTTTTGACGGCAAAAACCCAACCCTGTAATAACTATAAATAATAGAATAGCTATAAATAATATAACTATAAATAAATAATAGAATAACTATAATAAATAAATATAAATAATAGAATAACTATTAATCATAGAATAACTATAAATATCTATCGTTAGTTTAGCAAATGAGTTACTGAATTCATGAGTTATGGTTCATCTTCGATTAACCGAATTCTCATAAGAAAATGTCCAAGCCCAAGAACCCCACTTTTTCAGCCCCATATAATTTAATTCAGAATTTCAGCAGGTGCATTTCTATAATGTTAGAAATTCTGAACCCAACTAAATTTTGCCGTAACTTCAATGTGTGCCCAGTTGAACTATATCATCGAGTAAATTAATCCTTCTTGAACTTGATTACACGATAATAGGATCCAATCTAAATAAAACATTGCTTCAGTGCTTCGTTTAACAAGATCAAATAAGGTAACGATAAAATGGTTCAACGCTGAACCGATTCGGGAAAATTAATTCATCTTGAACTCTATTAAACGAAAACACATTTAAAACTAAACGAAAACAAGATCAGGATGTCGATAATACCTATGATTCAAAATTGAACGTATTTAAATGAAATTATTAACTTCTAGTAAATAAAGAACATTATAAAAAATTCTAAGAATAAACTCATTAAAATGCATCATCACAAGGTAGATATTAATCAAAGACTGAGTTCTTAAAACAATACAATTTTATACAGAGAGTCCTATTATTGAGCAACAATGGGAATTACTTTACGAACGAAATTGAATTACTGTGAATGTATTATTAGGCGAAAATATACATACCCAGCAAATGAACTAAATGAATATTTTCCGAAAAGTATTTGTTTTTGTTTAGGTATTGAGGATTCTAACAGTTACTTGCATTCTTAAAGTTATAAATTTTTTTAAAAAATAAATGCGTCAAATTATTTTAATAATTCAAGTTAAATTCTTTTAAAGTAATTCAATGCTATACATTTATCTTCACAGGTAGAAATTGGAACACTTAGATTATGTAACACTTAGTGTTAACCCATAAGAAATTAGAATATGGAACACTTAGTGTTAACCCATCGAAATTGAATAATGCACTATAAGTGCGGAAAACATCAAAAATATGTCACCTCCCTAGGTATATAAAATCATTAGTAAATTTACCTTCCAACAATGACATTACATTCACGACAAAACCTAATCTTTAAGCATTGAATATAGCACCATATGCTACTATAGAATAGTTCGCATTAATATTATTTTAAATCTTATTAAAAAAGAAATCAAATTCTATCGATAAAGAACAGTAGTAATTATGAAGGATTTAATTAGAAAAAAATGTGGAATTCCTTTACATTTAAGTTACATTAATGCTCGCTGGGGAAAATTAAAAAGACAAATCAGCTTGATTCACTTATCAACATGTAATTTGCCTTTATATAAATGCTTTTTTTATTCGCTCAATATACATTTATATTTTTTATCCATTATAGAAAAAGTATAAATGTTTATAAAATTTTTTGTAGCTGTAAACGAATAAAGATTTTCAGTACTAAAAATATTTAAACTTTTTTTTTTCCTTTCGCTAATGCATTACAGCAGATGATAAACGAATAATGATTTCCATTGTTATCGTTTTATGAATTGTATACAATGTTCTTACAATATTCGAATGGGTCTGTTCTGCGGCACAGAACTTTTCTGAATTTCTTCAACGTTTAAAAAGTCAATCGTTTAGTGGATAATGGTTTAATGATAAATCTTTTATCAATATATTGAATATTTCTATCAGAAAATGTAACAATAAAAAAGTAAATATCTTGAAGAATAATACAATACAGGAGACATTTCTATCCTACTGAATGTAGATGATCAGTCTTCTTAAAAGCCGCATTACAAATTCTCAATTTCTAAATTAATATTTTATATGAATTCTTATTTTGATGAAAAAGTGACAAAAATAATATTTTCGATGGCAAAAATATTTTGTATTAAAACGAAAAGTATGTCATCAAAACACTTAAATTATATATAAAATCGTTTATTTATAACACAAAAGGAAGGAAGGAATATCTCCATTCTTCTTTTACGATGAAAACCGATTAAACTTTTCAGTTTTTTTCCGAACGGTAGGGTCAGAACAGTTTGGAGCTGGCTCCAAGAGATCAGTGTCGGAGAACTGACCCATTGAATTTCTTGAGAGAAAATTTTAAATATAATTTCATCACAATAAGTATTTTTCGTCTATTTCAGTACTTTTTAGAGCGAGTGAATCATATAGCTACATTTTTATTATTCTCAAAACAGGTGGTTATGATAGTTCTCGTAGTAATCATAGCTTAAGTTCTCAAACTTGCTATTTATGGATATTTATCATCATTTATGAAATATCTATAGAAAGTGCAGTTTGGGATGAATTAAAGTGATTAATATTGATTCAAATTTGACAATTATTTAGCGAAAGTGTTCTATTCTAATTTAGTGTATTCAATATGAATCCTTTCAACTATAAAAAATTCACCAAAGATAACGATGATAAGCGTTGTTCGGTAGAACCATCTGAAAATAATGTAAATAGGGTGTCGTAGACTTGGTAATGCTTTAAGGTTACCTTTGTCACAAAAATAATAATTAATAGCGTCGTAACTCTTTGCTTATTATGTGAAAATACAACTCTAACAATACCACATACATAAATGACTTTTCTATACCGTATCATGTTTAATTTTCAAAAATTAGCAATGTCAAAATATTTTAAAATAAAAAGGGAATGCCATCCAAATTTTAAAAGTAAATAAACAAAAACCTAAATGCAGATTTTTAGACTTTAAAAATCTAAAATCAAAAGGAGAAAATATAAAATACTACACTAAAGACTTATAATGATAGCTAAGAAAATAATTTTCTAACAAAAGATCTCACTTTATATATAAGAATACTTATTTTTTCATGATTGCATTAATTTTAGTTTTCTCTAACTATGTAATGCAGATCAATAAAAAACCTAGTTTAATTGAGCTTCTCACAGATCTTTATCACGTAATAAAATTTAAATTTAATTTTTTAATTCAAATTATTAATACTTTGAGAAAATGTAATGATAAAGGTAAATATTTCACTAACAAATGACAAAAGTAATATCTTCAATCATAACACGCAATCAAATTTCAAGAAACAAATATTATTTTGAGTTTTTTTTAATATCTTTTTAATTTTGTTCTTGCTTTATCACACTCCATTTTAAAGTTTTTATTTTTTAAAAAACAACTCATGCCAAGATAAAACTGAAAACTTTCGCCCCTATAACAGAAAAGCTAATTTTTCAGAAATCAGTATTTATAGAATCGATTAAAAATTCCAAATATTTTATTTCATTTATTAGTTTTTGGTTATAGTGTAACTGATATTTGAACACTATATAATTACGGTGAATTTCTCTTTAATAAAGTTTATATATTGGATTGTTTACTTTGTATTTTTGGCATACAAATATTTTACTAAGTTAATTTTTAAAAAAATTCACTCATTCATTCTAAGTACTACTATAAAAAAGAAAATTGTTAAACTATGTCGCACAATTTTGTGTAGCATAGGCTACTTAAGTAGTTCCTTCATTCCTAAAATTAAACTTGAATCACAGATTTGTAAAATATCGCAGAAATTGTTTTTCCCCCCGCATAAAAATTGAACACGCAAACGTTTCATGAAGGATTGCAGCATGAAAAACTCTTCTAGTTGAAGAAAAAATATTTTCAGAAAATATTCTGAATATAAAATAATAATAATAATAATGTGAATATTCACACAATAGAAAAGATTTACATAATAATGAGACAGGAAACGAAAAAATAAATTGAAACGTATGACTTAGATCGGATGATCGAAAAAATGCTCAAAATGTGGCGAAATTAGTACAATTGACGTCTACGCAAACACTTATTTACAATGCAAATCAGTAGTATACCACCCGGTATAAGCGGCGGAAGTGACGTCACAGTCAACCGGAGCTTATTTCTGCCCCAGCCGGANTTCAAGTCCTCGATGATTTAATGATTAAAAAAAAATCTTCCATAACAACAAATATTGTAAAATGGCATCTAGGTAAACAGTGAGTTACAATGTAGTACAACTTATGCCCTTAATGAACAAAATTGTTGAGAAAACCTCCAAAATGACATCTGCGTAAACATTCAATTACACTGCACGTCATTTTAATACTTCGTGGACAAATGATTAAAAAATTGTCTAATATTAAACGAAATTGGTAAAACTGACGTCTACGTAAACACTTAGTTACGTTTTTTAAATGCTCGCCATAAACTAATGATTGATAAAAGCTCCCCAAGTGAAACATTTAGTTACATTTTTTTTAAAAAGCTCTTCATAAACTAATGATTGATAAAAGCTTCCTAAGTGAAGCAAAAATGACGTCAAACATTTAGTTACATTTTTTAAAAAAGTTCTTCATAAATTAATAACTAATGATTGATAAAAGTTCCCGAAGTGAAGCAAAAATGACGTATTCTCGAGTAAAATTATGACATTTTAAAAAAGTTACAGTTAAAAAGTCTTTTTGCTATTATTGTTAAACTAATAAAATAAGCGACACATTTAAAGCGCTGCAGTGTAAAAATGAGTTATTTCACACAAATATTCAACAAGTAACACACACAAAACAAACAAAAACTTACGTAACGGAAATATCCCTTCACCTTGAACTTTTAAGATGCTATTCCATTATCCAATAAAAACAGTTGTACAGCCACTATACACAGGGTCCGAACAGAATTCACAACACTTTAAAACACCAAACGAGGAACACAAGCAAAATTTTCGAAATTTGCACTGCAACGTCAAAGGTATGGGAATTATCCAGGTGTCACAAATTTACATATATCCGTCAGCAGGTAATAAGATTGGAATAGTTGGTGGAAAAATGAATTCGAGAATGTAAAAAGGACTGGTTATTGGGGGGAAGTAAAGCAGGTCTTCCGTTTTATGAGCGAGACGACCTGGCAATAGTCACTGGAAAGACAGGTGTGCCTATATGGCTAGTCAAGATGTGGATTTGGAAGACGAAAAAGCAACTGAGTTAAAACGTCATCTAACTCCGCCTACTCTAAAAACAGGGACTCTCCTCCAGTTGAGATGGATGGAAATACAGATAGTTGTTTATCCTGCATAGTTTCTGGCAATGAATGAAGTTTTTCTTCATAGCTCGTCACATCGCGTGCACAGATCGCCCGGCATGTAGCTGTTGTAACATCCATTTCGCGTTACAAGTTTGGTAGAATACATACAGCTCTGCGTCAATTCGTCGTGGGGCATTTTGTAGTAAACATAACTAGTAGCGAACAAAATTCATGTATATCGAATCGGAGACGTTTGGAAATTACATAAAATTAATGCATCACTAGGGCAACGGTTCCTAAATGGTGTTCTCTTTTCATCATTTTGCAGTAAACATAACTCGTAGCGAACAACATTCATGTATATCGAGTCAGAGATGTTTGGAAATTACATAAAATTAATACATCACTAGAGCAACGGTTCCTAAATGGTGTTCCGCAGAGCCCTAGGGCTCCGTAGAAAGATCATAGAGGATCCAAAAGCTAGGACATTTTTTAACCAGTAATAATTATATTTATAACAAATCAATAATCCATAATTTATTCCACACTTCAATTGTTAAAACGAAATTATTTATGCAAAATGCAATTCAAAAAATAACAAAATTTAAAAAAAAAGGTTTTTTTCATTAACAAATTATTCATTAAATTATGGAACGATTATGCATTTATAAAAACGTCCATAATTATTACTCATTGAAAATACAATGACCAAATTCAAAAGTTAAGAATCTTTTTTCTCTCTTAACTATCATCGACATTTATAACAGTGAAAACCATGATTCAACTTAATTTTATTTCTTTTCAGTACATGCATAAATCAGGAATATTTTAATTTAGAGTTTAAAATATTTTTTTTTCTTGGCATTAAATATTTACAAAATACTAAGTAGTCTTTTTTTTTTTAATTGGCTAGTATCTAATCTCCTTTTTTTTATTGGCACTAATGAACTTTTTTTATATTAAGCCAGGTTGAGTAGACATTTAGAGTTCCATAGTTAAAAGGAATTGGTGATCGCTGCACTAGGAGATCCCAAACCAAAGAATATAAAAAGGGCTGCTTTCACCGATCCCTAGTACTGGATTCGCATTTTTTTTCCTTTTTTTTTTTAATTTTTTTAAGATTGTTTCACAATTCGTGCTTGCTCCGCTCGCTCATTGGATACTTAAGTGTCCAGTTTCTATGCTGATATTCTTTTTATCATTGAATTCGAAAAATATGCAACATAAAAATCCTGTGAAACTCTTGATTTATTATTCACTTTATATACATTACAATTTCATTTACATGTATTTCGATACTATTCGGAAATTACATTTGGAATAAATAATTCGAAAAAAAAATTATAAATTTCAGTTTTTTGGAGACATGACAGTTTAGTTCTTTATTCTAACATAAACTGGTAAAACATATAAATACCAAAGAAAAAGGTAAGAAAATGTATTTTTATAAAAAAGTAGGTACTGTACTAACGCTCTTTTTTTTTTACCCTAGAAAAAATATATTTAATCAATGAGCAGTGTAATTTTTTTTTTTTGTTTTTTGATCGGTACATTAACATAAAACTTTCAATTCCGCGCAACTTAAAATTTAGTTTTAAAAAAAAGATTTTTATTGGCAGCATGAAAAAAAAAACTCATCAATTTTGCAACAATATACGAATTAATGTTTTACATGGAAATTATTGTTGAAAATTATTATGCAAATTATTATTATATTATGGAAATTATTGTTGAAAAAAATTATAGATTGATAATTGGTAGTTTGTGCATTTCTAACCCGACGTGATTATCAATATTAAAACGAGAAAAGACCAACAACTGAAAATTCACGTTTCAAAAATGTTATCCAATAATCGAAGAGGTAGATTTTGCATTGCACAATTTTATCCACACCACAGTAACATATGAGTTACTTTAAAAAAGAATCAATGCCAAAAACATAAATCACGTGGTTACCCCCACGTGATTTATGTTTTTTACTTTGTAGAAAAGAAATATTGAATGAATTTGTGATGACCCTTAATTTATAGCAAGATGGCATCGGAATAAAATATATTCGAAGAATTCGATTATTTCATGAAGCAGTGAGATCACATCGATTGGGGAGAAGGAATGGAGGTCAAATAAGAAACAAACAAAACGACAGAAGAGAGACAACAAGCAGAAATAATGCTGGAAAAATCGTGACAAACGGATGATTTATGGCCAACTGTTATCTTCATTATCCCAGCATGCACAGAGCACAGAGAAAAAAAAACCTATTGCAAATCAAAGATCCATAAACCAAAGTGAGCGTAATTTCACGAAAGTATTCTTTTTTTTTCTTCCTTTTTACATAAGCGCAGTAACATAGCAGCAAAGACAATAATACAGTGCACGGAAGGAGAGAAAAAAAGATCACCTTTTGATCTGACGAGCGGATCTTAACGTTTTAGGATTCTATCTTAAGAGAACGCCATACCCCAAGAGAAACTTTTTGTCACAAATTCTCTTCAACATCCTTGACTTATTTTAAAATTTAAAGTATAGAAAAAGTGAGCTCAGACAAACTTAGAGACAAGCCACGAAGTTTCGAATAATAGAAAGAAGGTTTTAAAACATCAAAATGAAAATAAATTATGAGGATTCTGTAAAGGTGAAGTTTTCTTTCATTAATTTGTTTGCGTTTTTGATATTTAAAAAAAAGTGTTTTAGCAGTTGAAATTTCTTGGTTTTTGCTTGAACTCACTTTTTCTTCCTTTCAAATATTAAATTAGTAACGGAAGCAAAAACGAATTTGCGACGAAAAATTTCTCCCTTGGTATGGCGTCCTCTTAAGAAGACACAAGATCGCGATGGATATCTAAAAAGCACAACTTATACACCGAAGAGCCATTACATTATGACCACCCTCCATCTATAACAATGGGCTCGTCCAGGTTTTCATGGTTTCTCGCCCAGGCACAATGTTTTCATGGGGCACATTAGGACCCATAATCCTCATAGAACAATCCCTGACGTCTGTAAGCTACTTGAACATAGTTGCAGACCAGGTTCACCCATTCATGGCAACAGTTTTTCCTGCGGGGGATGGTGTTTACCAAAAGGATAATGCACCATGTCATGAGGTTCGAATCGTCGAGGAACATTCCAGTGACTTTCAAGTCATGTCTTGGCCCCCAAATAATCCAATAGAGCATTTGTGGTCCTACTTGGAAAACCAAATTCGTGCTGCCACGCTACCCCCTCGCAATGTGAAGGAATTGCAGGACCAGTTGGTGAGCGCTTGGTACCTGATACCTCAGACTACCTATCAACACCTTGTGGAATCAATGCCACGGCGGGTGCTAGCAGTTTTGAGGGCTAAAGGTGGTCCTAAATGTTATTAGCAGGGTGGTCATAATGTAATGGCTCTTCGGTGTACAAGCCACATAGATAAACATTTCATGTCGAATTCTTTTTCACATACATAAGTAATTTAACATTTAAAGAGTAGAAAAAATGAGATCAGGTAAACCTAAAGCAAACCATGAAGTTCCAAACGCTAAGTTTTTAATTATCATAATATCAAAAAACAAACAAATTATGGCAGGATTACGCAGTGGAGAACGTAATCCTACAATAATTTGCGTAAATTTTTTGAAAATATTTTTTTAGCATTTAAAACTACATGATTTTCTCTAGGTATTACTCACCTTTCCTATACTTTAACCAAATGGGACAACGGTATCCCTTTTATGTATATATATAATATTTCTGACGCTCTAATAACAAGAAAAAATATATTTCGAGATTTTTTTAATTATAAGAAACAGTTCAATGGATGCCAAAAAAATCTGCTAAATTATCAGAATTAAATTTCTATTAAAATATAAAATCCAAAAAAAAGTAGATTGAAAAAAAAAAAAATTTTTTTTATTCATGTTCACAAATGCGTTATTAGTTTATTTTGTAAATTAAAGAAATTTCCATCATGAATAACTGTTTCTGTTTTATATATATATATAAAAAAAACTATTTAACTATTTATAATCATTATATCTAAATAACTGTCAACCTATTTCGCTCAAACTTCGTATTTTTCCATTTAAAATTTTTCCAATAATTTTAAATAAAATAAAAAAAAAATCATAAATATTTAATAAAAGTAATATTTTGCATGGAATAGTCTTTGAATAAACGAATTTCATAATTGTGTGCAAAATCTTTTCAATTCGCTTATAAATTTCTCGAGATATGGTGAAATACGCAAAAGTAAAATTCACATTAAGGGGTCCAAACTTTGGACCGCTCTCCTGACTAAACTATTGTGACGATATTTACCAGATTGTTACTGCCTATATTTTGGAAGTCAGAAATTGGAGGCCGTCGAAAAAAAAAGGAATGTTTATACGACGTTTTTGCACTAGCACGTTTTGTGTCTGAGTTAGTAACTTAAAATATAGTCAGCACTAACTAATCAACATATTTTATTTTATAACCGTCGTTGAACAGCCGACCCAATATTTGGGCTTACGACTACTGATGTTCAACTACGTAGCCTTGTAATTTTGAACCCAATCCAGAACACAAGGAAACTCCTGGATCAAGTATTGGGAGAAATTTGCCTTCGTGGAGGACTTCCTGATTGAACTAACCCACATTTGCGTTACATGGAGAGGAAGACCACGAGAACCTCCTACGGTTAGCCTGAGGGCAAGGGGACTTTAACCCTTGATCCGTCTACCACCGAGGATATTTCACGTCAGCACTGTGGTCGGTGCAAGCCGGATGCGGAATTCGTATCGCCCAGCCATCGCCGGGATCGAACCCAGTTCACCTCATTGGAAGGCAAACACTCTATCCCCTGCCACCGAACCTAAAAATTTATTCCTAGAACGTGAAGATCCGATCATTAAATCAAAAGTTATTCAGAGTAATTCGCTTTTCATTTTGCGTACTGTACATTGAAAAGAAAGGTATCTTGTGGGAAATATTTTCGTTTTTGCCCTTTTTTTTTCAAAAGCCTTTCGTTACGCCACTGTGTAAAGAACGGCGAGCCAATAAGTGCATTTTTTAGGCATTTTTTTACTTATTTTTTTAACAGTTTACGCCCACAGAGTGTCTATTCGAGCTCCATAATCTTGTAATTCTAGGCCGGAATAGCCTAGTTGGTAGGGCGCTGTGCCCATGTCCAACAGTTCGTGGGTTCGATCCCCACCGGCCGAAGACTCCCCGTGTAGTAAATGGGGACTGGTGCACGTTAGATCTGTCGAGTCGCAAAGTCCTCTATGTTCCCATAACAAATCAATACCTCTGGGGGTACGGATCCAGGAGTTTCCTTGTCTTCTGGATTGGTTTAAAATTACAAGGCTACGGAGTTGAACATTAGTCGTCGTAAACCCAAAAATTGGGTAGGTTGTTCAACGACGAATATAAAATAAAATAAAACCTGTAATTCACTTTACTTCTTATATCTCATAACGTTTTCTAGACAAGAAATGCTAAAACCTTCGATTTTCCACTAGGTGGCACTGAAAGCTGTCTCGTCTTGTAGTGCATAGTGACTTTACTAAACCTAGACACCAGTTTTAC